TATCTATCTATCTATCTATCTATCTATCTATCTATCTATCTATCTATTATTAGTTACATCTTATTAACTCTGTATCCCTCATTCCCTCCCAATCCCACCCTCCCTCATCTCCTCCCTGCCCCTTTCCAAGTCCACTGATAGGGGAGGACCTCCTCCTCTTCCATCTGACCCTAGTTTATCAGGTATCTTCAGTGCTGGCTGCAAAGTCCTCCTCTGTGGCCTAGCAGGGCTGCTTCTCCCTTGGAGGGTGGGGAGGTCTATTTACTTATTATGTATACAGTGTTCTGACTGCATGTACGCCTGCAGGCCAGAAGAGGGCACCAGATCTCACCATAGATGGTGTGAGCCACCACGTGGTCATAGGAATTGAACTCAGCACCTTTGGAAGAGCAGCCAGCACTCTTAACCTCTGAGCCATCTTTCCAGCCCTTCTTTTCTCTTTTTTTTTTTTAGAGGTAATATCACTCTTTTGAAATGCATTTCAGTGCAGTTGTCAAATCTTGAGATTCCCTAGTTAGCGTGCACACGTGTGCACACGTGCACACACACACGTGCATACACACATGTGCATACACACACACATGCATACACACACACATGCACACACACACACACACACACACAGGTCCCAGCATGGGCCATGGGGAAGTATCGAGTGAGGCACAGAAGAGGGTAGGCCTGAAATTTTGAATATTTCCTCTTACAAGACTTAAGTTTTTAATGGTTTATACGGGTTTAATATAGTATTTTCTTTACTCTGAGACTCTCACACATACATAAAATGTGTTCCAATCATGTTCATCTCCCCACTCCCTCCTCTAGCTCCTCCTGAATCACACACACACATTCTCCTCCCAACTTCATATTCTCTTTTTAGTTAATATCTGGCCCACTGAGACTAGTTAATGCTGCCCGTACATGCATGACCAAAGTAAACATGCCAGTGGCCACAGACGTAAAGAAAATTGGCTTTCTCTCTCCCAGCAGCCACCAACCGCCCGTTACTCCTGTTCTAGGGCTGGCGGCTCCTGGATCGGCCACATCCGTGCGGGAGCACTGGCTGGCTTGACCTTTAGCAAGTCTTGTTCAGGCCATCACAGCCATTGCCAGCCGTGAACACCACAGTTCGGTCACGCCCAGAAGACACTGTTCCCATCCCCACCCTGCCCCAACCTTTGTCTTTGATCCTTTCCCCTCCTTTTCCACAAAACACAAGCACTTCTATCAATAAAGTGCTCTTACACAGATCTGTGGCTCTAAAAGTGTCCTCGGACCAAGAAGATTTCTACTCTCAGGACTTTGTTTCAAATGCCAGTTCTCAGAACAACCCCCTGAGCCGCCTGTCTCAAAGACTGTGGAGGTGGAGTTGCAAACGCTATATGCTAAGGAGACTTCCAGGCAATTCTGTAGCTTTGAGAAACTAGTCTGAATGAATAGAGAACAGAAGCTTTAATCCAGGCCTTTTCCCTCCCCTTGACCTTTTCATGATGTCTTCCTGTCACTTACCTGAGCCTTAAAAAATGTCTTGGGAGTCCTCACCAGCACATATCGGCAGCTCTTGCACCCAGGGGTTCCCTGCAAACGAGCTGTGTCCTCTTCCCGGGGGCATGCCGAGTCCTCATCTGAAGCCTCTGGGTCTGACTCCATTGCTTCCTCATCCTTGAAGATGTCTTGATGTTCAGAACCCTCAACCTCCTCTCCCTCTGTTTGCGTTGTCTCTTGAGTCAGAGCCAACTCTCCTCCTGGCTCCCTCCAACCGTTTGCACCCTGCATCAGATCTTTCTCTTTCTTCGAGCTCTCCGGATGGGGACGAGCAGTCTCTAGGAAGAAGAGGTACCCTGCCGTCACTTGAGGCATTCTCTCCCTCCAGCACCTCGGACAGTTCCAACCGTCCGCTGGAGCCCAATCTGGAGCCACACGCAGGAAGGAATACTCTAGGTTGGGGAAGGAGAGATGTCTTACAGCAGACTCACTGGTGGACAACAGCCTGAACGCTGGCTGACACCACAGGTGTGGACGGAGGGAGACCTGTAGGAGAAGCCTGGAGAAGCCCTTTGTCTTAATATACGGTCTTTTGTGTTTTGTTTCTTTCTGAAGGAGCCATTTCTGAGTCTAGGAGGTATCTAACCAGAGATGTGTGAGCAACCTGAAAAGAACACACTGTGACCCTGGCCCTGTGATAATGACAACCACCAAAAGAGTGGGAGAGAGGGAAAAGGAGAAAAATGGATGAGAATAAAAGGGAAGGACTTACCCAGATGAAAAGCAGAAACCGTCCCCAGCAGGAGAAGGGACAGGATCAGGGGCTGTTTCATATCTACTTGATCCTGTAGTAGACGAAATTCTGCCTTCGTCCTCACAGCTGTCCTTCTGTGTCCAATACAGCTTCTGGCACATGATATGATACTTGTTTAATTAGCCAATTAAAGGGAGGACCAAAAAGCCTAGACCTTCTCCTCCTCCTGTTCCTCCTCCTCTTCCTCAATTTTCTCCTCCTCCTGCTCTTCCTCCTCCTTCTGCTCCTCCTCCTGATCTTACTCCTCTTCCTCTTCCTCTTCCTCAACTTCCTCCTCCTCCTCTAATGAACAGGCCCTGACCTGCAGAATCTGAAACTGGAGTAAGGGATGGTCAGGATGAGTAACTGAGCTGCAAAAATCTCCTCCCAAAATCTTCATGCTGTTCCCTAGGACCACAGTCTACCCAAGTTTCAGACCTGCAGGGACAGTTCAGCCCTGAGCCAGAGATGAACGATTTCACTTACTTGGGGAAAGAAGCAAAGACTTTAGCTATGGCGATCCTAAAAAACAGGCCTCCCAGCTGTCTGCTTTATAGTGACCTCCTGTTTCCTGCCTGACTCTGGGCCAGCACAGAACTCACCTCACGAAGACCTATGGCCTCCACTCTCAGCGACTGTGGCTAATGCCCCACAATCAGCCCTTATACTGGGTTTTTGGGGAAGTACGAAGGGGCCAAGGTGATTGCCCCAGGCCAGGCTTGAGGATAATAGAACTGATAACATTTTGTTCAGTTTTTTTCCCCCAGACCCTGCTGCCTGCTAAATCGGCAGAGCCCTGACCTCTGGGGCCTGCTTCCCTCATCTCTCGGGCCTGCTGCCCTAAGTAGAAGTTTACCCCCACCAGTTTATTTATGAGGTGTGTATAACATCATGCCTATCAATCAGATGTAATTAGCATTAGTGTTCCTAAAGTGTCCAGCCTGAATGATATTCCTTCATTCAGAAGCAGACTCCCAATGTCACTCTTCTAGGAAGTGATGTGCAGATTCCCAGGGAGCAGTGAGGAGCCATGAAGGGAAGCCATGAAGGGAAGGGGGCCTCTGCATTCACCTTCACTCATTCCCACTGAGGCTATAGGATCACCCTGCCTCACAGATCTAAACAACGGGATTCAGAGGAAGAAATATCACCAAGCTTGTCTGATCACCGAGCTTGGCTAGTTTTCATGCCAACTTGATGAAAACTAGAGTCATCTGAGAAGAGGAAAAAATGTCTCCTTAAGATCAGGCTGCAGGCAAGCTTGTAGGCTTTCCTTAATTAGTGATAGATGGGAGAGGCCCAGCCTATTGTAGGTGGGGCCATCCCTGGGCTGGTGGTCCTGGGTTCTATAAGAAAGCAGGCTGAGCAAGCCATGATGAGCAAAGCAGTGAGCCCCACCCACCATGGCCTCTGCATCAGCTCCTGCCTCCAGGCTCCTGCCCTGTTTGAGTTCCTGCACTAACGGCTTTCATGATGAACAGTGATGTGGAAGTGCGGGTGAAATACGCCCCTTCCTCTGCTTTTGGCCATGGTGTTCTATCATAGCAACAAAAACCCTAACCGAGACTCACAAAAAGTCAGGGAGCAGGGATTTCTAAGTCCCAAACACACACACTCACCCTATCTTTCTCTCTTTTTCTTTCTCTCTTTCTCTCTTTCTCTCTCTCTCTCTCTCCATTCTCTCTGCCTCTCTCCCTCCTTCTCTTTTCACAAGCCAGGCTCTTTCCAGTTCTCATCTTGATGTGGTTTCTTCTGTGCCATGGATCTGCATGGTTTCTCAACATTTATGATCTTAGTACTTAGGACCCTGTATTAGTTGTGGGAGCTGCCCTATGCATTATCTAAAGTTTAATAGCACCATTTGTCTGTGTCCATTAGATGTCTGATGTTTGCGTACACACACACACACACACACACACACACACACACCAAGGATTGAAACTGTTTCCACGCATTCCATTGCCTAATGTCCTCTGTACCATTTAGAGACCACTGGCCTAGACTTTATCACTCCGTCCAGCCTCTACGCATCCTCCAGGGCTGGCAAAGATGCCAGAACTGGGATGAAAACTCTTCTGCTAAGTCTTCCAGTCAATCGTTAGGCCACCTTGTCCTCCCCTCCCTCAGCCCCTGCCTCCCACCAGCCCTCTGACAACACAGGGCTAGGACTAGGATCAAGTCATGAAATGTTCATCTCAGACCACAAACTTAAGAAGACACTACAAAATTCAACATAAAATATAAGTAATATTTTAACACAAACTTTCTTAAAATCAAATAGAATGCAAATATATTCGCAATGACTAATTTTATTTAAACAACTAAGCTCCAGTTCATTCACTGTTGCCCAAGGAGAAAACAGTGTGTGTGTAGCCCTGGCTTTGCTATGCTTTCCTGCTAAGAGCTTGTTGGAAGTGAAGCTGGTGCCGTTGTGGAGGCGTTCTGCTGGACAGCGCACAACTGCCATTGACATGCCGGCCTCCTCCAAAGAAACAGACATGGGTGGCCCAGAGGACAAGATGGCCTGGAGGCCTTGTCTTCCTCTGCTCTCCCAAGGGACCTACAATTGGAGAAGAGGCGAGGGGTTACTTCCTGGCCTGATTGCAGAATAACAGTCTCGGCTCTTATCTGTTGGCCCAACAGACCAGACTGCCCTCTTATCTACCTGACAGTGGGAAGGTTGGTCAACCCCAGTGCCCTAAAAATGTGGTCTACAAGTTTCAAGTTTGAGATTGCCCCAGTGAGAAAAGGAGAAACACAGATACCGTTCTCGACTGTCCTCCTTCACCCTGGTTGCTGACAGAGCTGACAGTGCCCTGGATGGTGGGACAAGCCTCAGGGGTTGCTCTTCTCATGAGCCAGCATCGCCCTAAGCCTTGCACGCGTTGCTTCCCTTTACAAGATCCCGTGGCAACCAGAGACCAGCCTGAGCTCAGGTTCTATGCCCTTCCCCACCCCAGAGTGGCTTCCTCTCACAGACCTCCATCTTCTCCAACGCCAGTCATTCAGTCATTCATTCATTCATGTGGATGCTGTTTTCCTTGCAAACAAACCCTGACAAAACACATTTTAATGCTTCAGTAATCTTGCTGATGGCCACAATGACTCCTTTCTAATTGAAAACCAGAAGTAAAATTTTTGAAGGTTTACTCCTGATCAGGCACTATGTTTCCATAAGGTTTGTTTTTGTTTTTGACAACCATTACTTCCTCTGTACTCCATATGAACTCATCACAAATCTTCACTGAAATTGGGTATTGCCACCTTAAGTTTACATATTTACTGAAAAAAAAAAAAAAAAACTGAAGAGGTAAATGATTGCTTCAGTTCTCACAGCCCAAACGTCCTTGTTTATATCCAAGCATGTATCCTGACAGTCCAGCCAATGGTATCAGTGCTAAGTCTCGGGAACCCTGTTTTCAGTTACATTCCAACGAGTGTGAATGAGCCTCTTGTCCCAAGATTCAGCACAACCCCTTTTTACCCAAAGGATGACTCTCATGGTGAAGAGAGGCCAGCAGCGTGATACATGATGGAATCACACGTTCAGGAGGCAACCTGAATGTCCAAACTGAGGACAGTGACAAGGTCTGCCTCTCAGGCAGTGGTTCTGAATCTGTGGGTCACGGGAGTCCCATATCAGAAATCCTGCGTGTCGGTACTTACACTATGATTCGTAACAGTAGCAAAATTAAAGGAGCAATAAAATAATTTTATGGTCAGGGTCAGCACAACATGAGGAACTGTACCAAAGGGTCTCAGAGTTAAGAAGGTTGAGAGGAGCATACCACAGATGGTCTCTGAAAGACTCTACCCAGCAGACAGACAAACTTTGGACAGAGTGCAGGGAATCTAATGAAAGAAGGGGGAGATAGAAAGACCTGGAAGGGACAGCAGCTCCACAAGGAGAGCAACAGAGCCAAAAAATCTGGGCATAGGGGTGTTTTCTGAGACTGATACTCCAACCAAGGGCCATGCATGGATGTATGGCATGCAAACCCCTGCACAGATGTAGCCCATGGCAGCTCATTGTCCAAGTGGGTTCCCTGGTAAGGGGAACAGGGGCTGTCTCTGACATGAACTCTGTGGCTGGCTCTTTGATCACCTCCCCCTGATGAGGGAGCAGCCTTATTGGGCCACAGAGGAAGACAGTGCAGCCAGTCCTGATGAGATAGGCTAGGGTCAGAGGGAAGGGGAGGAAGACCTCCCTTATCAGTGGACTAGGGAAGGGTCATAGGAGGAGAAGAGGGAGGGAGGGGGGTATTGAGACGGGATGAGGGAGGGGACCACAGCTGGGATACAAAGTGAATAAGCTGTAATAAATAAAATAATTTAAAAAAAGAAGGTTGAGGACCACTGCTATAAAGAAACCATCTGAGGCAGAGCTGTCAGTGAATCGCCCAGCACTTGGAGCCGGGTGCCCTTGTGCGATGAGGCAGGCTTAGTTTCATGCAGTCCTTGCTTGTTGGTGGACAAGTGATGAACATCTTGCTTGCTCAGGCTTCTGAGTTTTCCTGCCCTGTGCTTTGCATAGTGCAGAAACCCTGGGCATTCCATCTAAAGAGATGTTGTCTGCTGCATAGAACCTGCTCAGCATCTTGCTGGAAAGGAAAAATGCTCACACAAGCTGCCTCTTGGGGTACAAGGCCAGTCTGTTTATTTTATTTATTTTATGAACTTTACCTTTTTTTTTTACTCTGATTATTTTTTTTAATTATTACAATTTATTCACTTTGTATCCCAGCTGTAGCCCCTTCCTTCTTCTCCTCCCATGCTCCTCCCCAAGTCCACTGATAGGGAAGGTCCTCCTCCCCTTCCATCTGACCCTAGTCTATCAGGTCTCATCAGGACTGGCTGCATTGTCTTCCTCTGTGGCCTGGTAAGGCTGTTCCCCTAACCCAGGGGGAGTGATCAGAGAGCCAGCCACCAGCCACTGAGTTCACTGAGACAGTCTCTGTTTCCCTTACTAGGGAACCCACTTGGAGGCTGAGCTGCCATGGGCTACTTTTAAAAAGACAAAAACAAAAGCAAAAAGAAAAACAAAAACAAGGTCTCATGTAGCCCAGGCTGGCCTCAAGTTCACCATGCAGCTGATGATGATCTTGAACTTCTGATCTTCCTGACTCCACATTGCAAGCAGTAGTGTTACAAATGTGTGCCTCACTCCTGTTTAATGTGGGGTAGGCATAGAACCTAGGGCTTCAGGCTTCAGGCATGCTGGGCACTCTGCCAACCATACCACATCCCTAGACCCACTTTATTAAAAAAAAAAACAGTTTTAATGATATATTCATCCTTCATGGAGTTTTCTAGATCTTCATCTTGTCCTAAAACTCATTTTAACAAAAAGATGGTTCTCATCATTGTTGTGATCATTAATGAAATGACAAGGTCAAAGCAATGTGGAGGAGCCCAGCCTGCTGAGCAAGCCCAGACCATTGTCCACAGACACAGACAACTGAGACACTAAAGAGTGGACTAAGCAGAAACACAGCAGCCATTGCCCTTACAGCCACAGCCACAGCCATGTGCAGAGCGGAATCAAGGACCCCGTAGTCTCCTCCTGCCTTCATCTGGGCATCCTCTAATGAGACTTCCATGGAGCAGGCCTCACAAAGCCTAAGAGAGCAGTTTCTGAGAAGCAAGACAAAAATCTATCTAACTCCCAGCCTGGAGTGTAGGAACCATGCAGCAAACGGTGGTAGCAGGGGTCTCTTCCCGTTCTTGCATTTATTTATTTTTCACTTATTCTCGTGCTGGGATCCTGCTCGGGCTTCACACGTGCTAGGCCACTGCTCTGCCGCGGAGCGATAGCCCCAGCCCCTCATCACCCTTACTATTACTTTAAAACAAGAAGAGCAGTGCTGTCCTGCAGCAGAAGGTGACATCCATGAGCACTCGTGGGCCAGCTCTGCCTCAGCCGTATCCTCACAGCACCCACCCCAGAGCCAAGCACACGGGGCTTCCGAAGCTCACCAAGTATAAAAGCATTAGCTGACATGGCCTGGTGGTTGCATGGACCAAAATGTGGCTCTGTCTCTTTCTCAGCTCGCTGAGAAACTAACCCTGAACAAACAGCTTCCCTTCTCTGAGTCACTCAAAAACTCACAGATCTTTTTTCCTTCCCAGGACCCTGGACCCATAAAGAGTTGGGAAATCCCTGAAAGAGAGGGGTTCAGGCCACTGAGCCCCTCCATCCTGCTTCTCTCCTTACTAATATTAGAGTTGCTCATCCCCATCTTAAACTGGGTGTCTTTGCCTCCAGGTGAGTTGACTTTTGTGCCTCAAGGTGAAGTCCAGAGTGAGTAACATCCGTCAAGACTTCCAGGCACGGAAACAGTGGATAAAGGAGCAGGCTTCGGAGCTCAGAACGCCACGTCTCAGCACTGGGAACATCCAGATGTCTGTCTTGAGCAAGTCTTTCATCCATGTATAATTCCCTGAGCCTGTTTCTACATGGCAGGAATAATAATGATTGATGGCGTAGCGTGATCTGTGGCAGGCACTTGCCGCAGCAGCTGAGTGCTCAGTAAGAGAGAACAGCTAGCATGTGCTCTCTCTCTGTCAGTCTCCGTCTCTCTCTCTCTGTCTGTCTCTGCGTCTGTCTGTCTATGTGTATCTCTCTCATACTCTCATTCACACATACACACACACATACACACTATGTCTTAGATTCCTATGCCTCACTGAGGATCTGACTCATAATTCAGAGTTTGATATTGGGTTTTCTCCAAAGCAGAGCTTGCGACAAGGATTTGAGTACCCATCCTATAGCTAATCTGGGGAAGGGCAGAAACAGTGCTAGAGGAAGACAGGATTCATCGGGGGAGAGGCAAGCAGCCAATAAAATACATGTTGTAATGTCAGCCAGCTTAATAGACAACGGAGAAGTGGTGCCTAACCCGTGTTCCACCTGTTCCACTTGATAGGTGCACCGGTTAATATTGGCTGTATACGTGACAGGCTCTGCAGTTACCTAGGAGACCAGCCTCTGGCCACGCCCCCGAGGGAGTACCTTGATTGCGTCCATTGAGGTGGGAAGGCCCACAGTCCCTGGGTTTAGATCCTGGATTGTGTCTGGAAGATGCTAGCTGCACACAAGCACTCATCTCTCTACTTCCCAAGTGGGGGTGCAATGTAGGCACCTGCTTTGAGTTCCTCCACCCAGACTTTCCTCCCATAATGGACAGTAGCCTTGACCTGTGAACTGAAAGCAGCTCTGTCCCCATGAGTCAGGTTCTTTGTCACAGCAACAGGAAAGGCAGCTAATACAGTGGGAAAGAAGAGCCCTTGTAGCTGAGAGTTCAAAACCCCTCGCATGTCTGGAAGCTGTTGGCGAGGCCCTGACAGTACCTGACACGCATATGCTATGTAATTGTGTCTTCCACGAACACCTGAACACATTTCTCTTTTGTCAGAATGCTTCATGGACCCCACTGCACCTTTACTTCCTAAAGAGCAATAACTTCGTGGCTCCTTCATAACACAGTGAGATCATAATGCAGAGAGCTCAGAGTGAGCCTGAGCGACCAGTGATCACAGGAGAAAAGGAATCTGTTTCAGTAAAGCGCTTTTATTGTAGGAGGTGAAAGAAGGGGACATCTGGCAGGGAAGAAGAAGCAGTTACCCAGGAGACGATGAATTTGAACTCCCGGCTGGAACCAGCTCAGAACGAACAGATGAAGGGACGCCTCTCGGCACAGTGAGACCGACGCCAGTGGCCTCCTGTGAAGGGAGGATAGGAGAGCTTCAGTGCCTTGTCTACCCTCACCGGAAAGACCCTTGTTCCCACCAGCTCTGCACACCACCTAGGAAGCTTCTCCTGAGTGGCCAGGCTCACTTCACAGCCCTCCTCCTTGAGTCTCCCCGGCCTTCCCTTCATGCATCTCCAGCCAGCCTCACCTTGGGTACACAGAGCCACACATCTGCCACCACCACGGCCAGGCTGGCCAGAAGCCCAGTATGCAAAATTCCAAGAACTTCCATCAACCCACTGAAAGCGTGTGCAACGGCCCTAGAAAGGTGGGAGGGAAAGGGATACAGTAGGGGAAGGGAGAGGGGCAGAGCCAGCACTCTCCCTGGTGGCTCCTGGACCACAGGACCATGATGGATGCTGTCAGGCTGAACATCCACAGGGACCATCACCACCCATTCTCCTCTTGTCTAACATGAGCATCCTCTTATCAACCAGAAATGGGGCTGGGAACCACGTGTAACCTAGAGGTAAAGAAACAGCCCACAGACCTCCACGGCAGAGAATCTGGGAGGAACTTGGACTTAAACCTGATTCTAAGTCGTTGGTGGCACGTCAGTGTCTTGCCTGGGTACCCATCTGTCCCAAGCTTCTTAGGGGAGAGTAAAGGGGGAAATACAGACAAAGCTGCAGCAAGGTGGAGCCTGGATGGGATCAAGAGGTGCTTTCATTTAGGTCTGTATCCCTCTTACCCAGCCCACGATCCTGCCTCCGATCCAGACTTGACCCTGGTTGATTCTCCTGACAGAGCACTGGATTCGGAAGTTAACGTGGAAACTGTGGATGGAGGCAAGGCTGCCCCGGTAGCAGCGCCTGCAAACTGACTGCAGAACAAAACAAGAGAGAAAGAAAGGAGTTTCCCTCTGCAGTTCACAGGGTCATAGTCATGGGCTTTGAGTCTCCAAAATCCATTCCCTCCCTCCCTCCCACCATCTGTCCTTTCTTCCTACCCTCTTTCCCTCCCTCCCTAGCCATAGACATCAGAAGATAGCAGAGCAGAACACATCACATTTCCACATGACCCTCTCCTCACCAGGCATCTCCGGGAGATGGAGACATGTTTCCCATCTCTGCTCTCAGCCTCGGCCATGCACCACATACCTGAGCTTTGTCAAACCGTTCGGCCGACTGAACTAGGACGTAGCGGCAGGTCTTGCATCCAGAGACACCCGTCAGACTCATTGTGTCCTCTTCCTTGGGGCACTGAAGGTCCCCATCCATCGCATCCTGGCCTGAGACAGCTCCCTCATCCCCTGGAGCACTTTTGCTTCCAGAACCTTCCTCCTCTTCCAGTGGCATTAGCTCCTCCCCAGGAGAATACTCTTCTACTTCCGCTCTTGGCATCTCTGCATCCCTAGGCAAGTTCTCATCAGTCAATGGGCTTTTAGAGTCGGAAGCTTCAGACCCTGGCAAATAGAAAATTCAAGTATCCATCTTTCACAACTTCCTGTAGTCTCTCCAGAACTGTGGGCACCTCCTGCCCAACTCCCTGAACACCAGTGTGCACAACCCTACCTAGAAAAAAGTAAACTACAGCCACAGAGACACCCCACTTCACACATGAGGTCAAGATAGCTGAACACAATAGCTTAGAGTTCAGTCTTTGTGGCTTTGGGTCCTGGACTCAACATCTACAAGCTTCATTTCTTGGGAAACTGGTATACGATCCTTAGTGCTTCATGAAGGTGCTCTAGAGATTAAGGACAAAACATGCAGAGAGAGTGCTCAGTGAACTCAAAGTGAAGAGAAGCTGTTATTACTGAGAACACCACTCAGGTTACAGAAAGGACGAAACTGGAAATGCCAGGACAGAATCAAGGCTACCGACATAGCAGATGCTCTCGGGAGTCCTGCAGAGTCCCTGCTCCCCTAGTGTCCAGGGACTCTGCAATTGGGAATGATAAGTGATGGTACTGGGTGTGTGATTCAGACCTCATCTATTACACACAGGAATGAGCGAGCAAGCGAGGGAGAACTGATGACTCACTCAGATGAAGAGCAGACACTCCCCCGACTAGAAGAGCCAGAAGTAGAGGGAATTTCATCTTGGCTTTGTCCTGAAATAGAGAACACAGACGTTACACATATGCACACGCACACACACAGACATGCACACGCACACACAGGCACACACACACCAGCCAGACCATTTTGGACCTGTGGGAGGAAGGTGGAGAAAAAGAAGGCAAGAACTTGGAATGAACTAGAAGAGCTAATGCTGAGACCAGCCCATGTTGTCCCAGGGAACCCATTTGTTCATTTTGCCTATGACGAGGCTTCATGCAGCCTGGGTAGCCTGGAACTCAATACGTAGCAGAAGCTGGCATAGAATTCCTGATTATCCTGCCTCAATTCCCGAGTGCTGAGATTAGAGGCATGTGCCATCATGCCTGGTTCACATTCTATTGGGGATTGAACCCAGGGTGTCGTGCATGCTGGGCAGGTGCTCTACCAACTGAGCCCCAGCCCCAGCTCCAGGAAGTCCTCTCTGAACAAAATCAAGTAGACCATAAGGAGCAGCTCAGGCTAGCTTTCCTGCAAGCCTGTAAGGAAAATGAATTATTTACTTATTTATCCATTGATTTGCATTAATGAGCTTGTCAGCGTCTGCAGGATGAGTGAATGGAGAAGCAGCGATTGTTGACCTTGCTAGGAAAGCGCAGCACTTAAATCATCTGGTCCTTCCCCAGAGCCAGGTACGACCCTCCTTTCCTACCCTGTGACCTTCCCTGACAAGGAGAGTTTCCTGTCCTCAGAAGAGATGTTCGTTGCACCAGCACGAGCAGAAGCTCAGCCTAGGTCAGGGGCCTCCCTGTAGCTGGACCTCCCCAGAGCCAGCTGCGCCCAGAAAAGAAAACACTCACAGCCACCTGGGTCTTGTCAAGTTTGCAAAGCTGGACCCTTCCTCACCCCAACTCCAAGTGGTATTTATAGACACCTTGGAGGAAGTCCCTGGGAAAAAGGGGGCTTACCTCAGCCAGAGAGAAAGGGTGGGCTGATAAGAGCCATTTCTTCACTTCTTTGATGAGTCTGCTCCTTAGCCACCGCATGTGGGGGAGGGAGCGTTGAGCTCTTCATCTGAGCTCACTTTGGGCTGCATTTCTTTCTCTCCTTGGGAGCTTTCCCCAATTCGTGGTCTTCTTTTTCCTAAGACACTGGAGGAAGCATCTTCATTATCTGTTAGAGTTTAAAATGCACCTCTGACCAGGTTCACTCTGTAGACTATTGTTCTGGACAGAAACCACCTGTATGTAGGAAAAATTTTACAAAGTTATTTATTGTTTAATAGTTCCACAGAATGACTGGGCTACCCACCCATTGAACAGTGAGTAAAATGTGTCTTGTCTGTTCTAGAAAATTCCTGTGTCTACACCTGTACCTCTGAGCCTCGGAGCTGTGTGTGCCATGTTAGGAAGGGAACAAAGCAAGACTGACCGGGAGGGTTTTTTGTTTGTGTTCGTCTGTCTGTTCACTGCCTTTGCTTGCCTCTCTGTTTTCTGCTTTTTGTTTTTGAGACAGGATCTTGCCATGTGGTCCTGGCTGGCCTGATCCTCACTATATAGCTCAGGTGTCCTCAAGTGTGTGGCAATGTTCACATCCCCGCTTCTCTGGTGGCTACCACCACACCTAGCAAGAAGAAAATATTCAGTGTGAAAACAGGTTTACAAGTAGAAACCTTGGGCAGCTCCTTCTGTGAGTTTTCCTCATGACACCATATTTAGATACGTGAAAGAATTCACACCAGCCTGATGACCTTGGTGGCCTCCATGAGTGAGCGAGGAGGTCGCTGCTCCTTCTTTTATTATTCTACCTTTCTCCAGTCACTACAGTCTGTGTGTACAAAATCTGTCATTTGAAGTAGGATCTTATCAAAGATGTTTTTGGGTTTTTTTGTTGTTGTTGTTGTTGTTTGAGACAGGGTTTCTCTGTGTAGCCTTGGCTGCCCTAGACTCACTTTCTAGACCAGGCTGGCCTCGAACTCACCTCTGCCTTCCAAGTGCTAGGATTACAGGCGTGTGCCACCGAGCCTAGCTATTAAAGATGTTTTTAAAGCACAGAAGACCTCTGGGAGATTCTGATTGGCTAGTTTTTTTTAGAGTAGAAAGCGATGACTGCATTTAGCGTGTCTAGGTTATGGGATGAAAATGGGCCTGGAAATCCCTGAGCTGAGGATCTCAGTGCTCAGGAGTACTCACATGCAACCGACTACTCGCCCTCAGAACTGGGCCCCTTGGCTGGCCACCCACCACCTTCAGCAGCATGTCTGCAGCACATGTGTCGGTGCCGTGTGTGGGAATGCCATGTCTTTTAGTCTTGGTGTGCGGGCCCGCACACACACATGCTCCTATGTGTACACGTGTGTGTGCCTGTGCCCCCCTTGCTTTTTTGAGTCAAGGTCTCTCACCGAACCTCCACTCTCTGGTAGGCCAGACTGGCAGGCCAGCAAGCTTGAGGACGCGGATTCCACATTCCTCTGTCCTCCGTAGCATCGGGGTTACATATGTGGGTTGTGTCCTCTTTTTTACAAACTCATTTCAAAACAAAGGTCCCCATAATTGTGCTACAAGCACCCTACCCACTGTAACATCATCCCAACCCTAGTCCTTAAAAAAGTGACCTCGTTATCATTTCTCCATCTCTGTATTCACACATGTGCCCGTCCACACATACAAACATGTCTATGCTGAGACACACACAAATAAAGGAATGTGGAAGGAACCGATTTCTACATCAGTGCCGAGGACATAAATAAAACAGATGCCCATTTGGGGGAGAGGAGACTTTCCTCAGCCCTTGAGCAGGACGCTCTCCTCTTGACTCGCGGCCACAGTGTGATCAACCAGCTTGGAGTCCAGCATCTTCCAGTAGGAGGGTCTGATGATCACCCCCAGATTTAGACTTGCCTCCTTCCCAAGAAGCGGTGGCTCCTTGCAGGGTCCTAAAACTTGGGAGTTCTTATTGCAGGCCTCAGAGTTACCACCGGAATGTAGACGATGTTGGAAGAACTAAACGTCCCAAAGCACACCCATCTGGACAGCAGTGCTCCAGGAAGGTCCTTTAACGCCAGCCTTGCACTTAGCCTCGTAGCATCCTCTGGAGCTCATTCTACCTTCAGGCTTATCAGTGCCAAGATGCAGACCTGGTAGTGTAGGCTCCGTCCTGACACAATGTGGGCTGTTGCCCTAAGTGTGTGTGTACCAGACACTGAACAAAAGTCACCTTGGCCAATGTGATCAACAGCAAGCCACTGGTCTGCCTCTCTTCCATGCCCGTCCCCCAGACACACAGCAGCTTGAAGGCAGAAAACACTGCACCTCCAGATACAGTCAGTATCATCAGTATGAATTCCCAGCACCACGATTCTTTTCTTATCTGGAAACTGAATAATGTCCGAGGAACTATGAAGCCTATAGTCAGAGATAATTCATATGTGATGTTTCTAAAACAAGGATCCAAATCACTGGTGAAGTTCTTTCATGTCCTATCAAAGCTCTAAAAAACAACCAACTTTATTGAATGATTTGTTCCCCAAGAACCAGAAATGACTTTCTAGGCTGCTGTGGTGGAAAAAAAATATTAAGATACTTCCTAAAATGTTCTCCATTCCTACCTCCTCATGTGTATAATCCTTGGGATTGTTGATGTGGATTTTCCTCTTGTGGTCATGTTATATATTCCATAGTACAATTAATTTTAAGATGGAGATAGGGATGGAATTGTGGCTCGGTGGTAAAGCACTCACCTAGCATTCATTAGTCCCTAGGTTCAATCCCAAGCATGGAAGGAAGAACGGGAGGGAGAGAGGGAAAGAGGAAAGGGGGTGGAGGAGAGTAGACAAGAGGAGAGGAGAGAAGAAAAACAAGATGGGTGGGGAGAGAGGAAACACAGGAAGGAGGAAGGGAGGAGGAACAGAAAGAAGAATGGCTATATCGGGTGAATCTGACCTAATCAAATGAACCATTAAAAGCAACTGGGTTCTTCCTAAAGTCACAGATCCTGAGTGTGAGGATATTCAACCCAGGGGACATATTGCTGGCTTTTAGAATGGATAATGCCATGGCAAGGAATATGGGCAGTCTTGAGGACCTAACAGAGGCACCTTCTTGCAGCCAGCAAGGAACTAGGAACTCAGTGCCATGCCAGCAAGAAACAGAACCCTGTCACAACCTTATTAGCTCAGAAATGTGGTCAAGCAACATTTTTATTTCAGATATAAGTCCCCAAACAGAAGCCCTGGCCATGCCATGCTCACATCTCTGATCTACTGGCCTGTGATGATAGAAACACCTGCGGCCTGACATCGCTAAATGTGTAGCAATACGTCCTGTGGCATGAAGACTAACAGCCTAAGGGTCCATCTCCCTCTCACTTGGCAGAGGGAGCGGCATAAACAAGTGTCCCAAAAAATGGGCCTGAGGACCTTCTAGAATAGAGAACCCAGGGACGAAGAGCAGGCATTGCACAGGGAAGAGTCCTTTCAGACTATAAGACTATGAATGGCCTCTTCTAGACTCAAATTTTGCTCAGTTGGATTCCTCAGCCTCATAGAAAAGATGGAGCTTGAAGCTGACCAACTGCCTGCTTGACTGATGTTGGCTGAGCTTGACCAACATCCTTGTGGGGCAGATAAAAGGTGGTGAAATGGCCGACACAATCCCAGGGGTGAGTGGCCCAAGAGATAGGGATGAAGTCGTTGCTCTGTGAAACCAGTCTTGACAACAGCATCTCTGATACTTCCTCATTTAGATGTCCCAACAGTTGTTAGAGGTCAAGGTGTCACACATTCTGGAGCTGGCAGAGCCCTGAGAGAAGAGCCGGTCCAGCCTCCAGGTGTCCGATGTGGAAGGACACCCTGAACCAGACTAGGTATCCCGATTCCTTCCTGTTTCCTCTCCTCCCTGCCACCTCACTGGCCTGAGCCGTGACGGGTGGTGATAGAAAACCCGTCACCTCACACTTCCTGTGGGTCTCTGCTCACGAGCCGACGACCCGCTCTCATGGCCGCTGTTTGCAAGGCTGTCCACTAACAGGGTCCTCTCCACTG